TCCAAGCAGTGTTGTGGGCGCCCACAACTCCCATACCAGACGAGCACGGTAAAACCCCTTGCATACCTCTAGGCATCAACAGTATGGCAGGCACCGACGTCTGCCATACCAGAAGAAGACGATGCAACCTCCCACATGCATCTGACATTAACAGTGTTATGGGCGCCAATAATCATCTTGTACCCGATGGCGTGGGCAACGAGACTTAGCATATGTACACTCTCTCTCTCTCTCTATCACTTGTAAGGCCATCCCCTTCATCTATAAAAGGGGTGCGCTCTCTCCCAAAGGAGGAGAGATCAGTCCCCAACAACTCGAACAACACACGACCAAGGATCCCAACGAACAACAGATGTTCGAACACTTAGCACATAGCGGAGCTCTCATCACTCTCGGCCCTTTAGACCAGAGTTCGACCGGACCTCTTGTACCCGCCATCTTTCTCCCTTCCATTTGTAACCCCACAGCAAACTTCGAGCACCTGGGCTCAGGAATAAAGTGACCGACCATCTCAAACTGGACGTAGGGCACGTTGCCTGAACTAGTATAAACCCTGTGTCATTGAGTGCTATGCCACATCCGATCACAACATATGGCAAAACTATAAGTATTTACGTGTCGGTCATTTTCTACACCGACAGTCAGCGTCGGCGACGTTAGGCGGCTCGTTGCACTGCCGGGAGAAGCACCGGATGTACCCATGAAGGGTTTCTTTGGGCTTCTGTCAGCAGTTCTTGAGATCCCATGGGTTCCTATGGCGCTTGTACGTGCCCTGGAAGTTCCCCACGAAGATCTCCTTCAGGTCCACCCAACTTTGGATTCTGTTGGGCGGAAGGTGTTCTAACCATGTTCACGCCGAATCGGTCAGGAACAATGGAAGGTTGCGAATAATGAAATCATCATTATCCGCTCCACCGGTTTGGTAGGCAAGCCGATAATCCTCGAGCCATAGTCCGGGGTTCGTTTCCCCGGAGTATTTTGAGATGTTGGTTGGTGGTCGGTACCTTGGCGGGAAGGCGGCGTTGAGGATGTGTCGGCCGAAGGCCTGAGGCCCCGATAGGACGGGGCTCGGGCTTCGGTCCACGCCGCTGTCATAGCGTCGGCCATGACGAGGGTGATAGCCGTGGCTAGCACCCTCTCTTGGGTCGTGGTAGGTATGTCTGTGGGCGTCGAGGGTGTATCGTGCGTCACGGTTGCGGCCGAGATATTGATGCACCAGGACTAACGCGTCCTTGCCGGGGCGCTCTGAGGGCGTGCGCTGGCTGGCGTCGAGCTCGTGTCGCCGAGACAACGAGCTCTCGGCCTGCTGCGCCGCCATAGGCTCGAGTAGCGTGTGAATCTCGTGGTGGGCCCGACGATCCTCTGGCATCGCGGGCCCTGGAAGCCCACGGAGCAAAGCCGCACTGCAGCGATGTTCTGGCTCGCCCGAGCGAGGTGTGGGAGGGCTTCATCATCTGCGACGATCCTCCGGTTCACGTCGTGGGCCATGGCACATGCGTGCCCACCGTCTCCGTGGCGCTCGATCTCCCGATCGAGCTCTGTGCACTCCTACTCGAGCTGGAGTCACGCTTCCTCGAGCTCTTGGTGTCGAGCCTTCAGCTGCTCCACCCGCATGCGAGACGAGGCCACCGTCTCCCCTTTGACCTCGTCATCGAGGTCGTTCGTTGGGGTAGCATCCTCTTCGTGGATGCTTTTGACATGTCCCTCGGGGGTACCTGCCATAAAACATTCACGAGAGGGGTGATGACTCCCCCTGCTGGAGTCAGAGCTGGAGGGCGACTCCGATGCTCCCGTGAGAAGGTCATGGAAAGATTTCACGACATATTCGGTCATCCCCACGAACCCATCGTTCGTGGGGGATGAAGGCGCGCGTTGCGCCACAGGGTGGCCGTCGGTCTCTACGGCATTGTGGAGACCGAATGGGAGCGTTGTCAGGGCGCTCCGGATGAGGTATTCCGGAGAGAGTGGCTCCCCTCCAGCGAGCTGCGCCATGATGTTGGCGAACGAGAAGGTGAGGTGGTGCAGGTCCTCCCGGGACGGCCGAGGTCCCAGGAAGGCGCCGAGCTGGAGCTCGAACCTCCCGTAGTCGAAGTCGAGGAGCTGGTTGCTTCCGGAGGCGCGGGCCCCCGGCGCGTGCAGCCATAGCTCCTCAAGCGCCTTGGTGATTGCGTCGAGGCCGGCGGAGTGGAGTGGTCGGGTGGTGGCGAGAGCCATTGCCAACTCTCCCTCCGCCGTGACGATGAAGTCCAGGTTCCTGAAGCGCACGTGCGCTCCCGGGACCCGGCTGAGGTTGTGACTAGCCATCCGAGGCCTGGTGTTGATGTCGAGACGCGCAAAAGGCCCCTACCTGGCGCGCCAACTGTCGGTGTTTCGAGTAAACACCAACGAGTAAATTTGTATTATTGCGCGTCTGACCCGGATGGTGTGCTAAGAGGACACAATGTTTATACTGGTTCATGCAGAATGTCTCTACGTCCAGTTCGTTGCTGCTGCTCGTGTTACTAGCACTGAAAGTTCATAGTAGGGGTTACAAACAGGCGAGAGAGACATATCCCAAATCTCTGGTGGAAAGAATGAATGGGTACCGAGAGCTCGGTCGCTGCTCGGCTATGTGTTCGAGGTTCGATGCTAGTAGTCTTGATCTGATGCGGTGCGATGCCCCTTAATGGGATGTCCTGCTTTCCCTTTTATAGGCCAAGGGAAAGCACGCGTTACAATGGAAGAAAAAAGGAGAACGAGAGGCAGAGGTAGTCCTTCAGGGTCGTCGGGCGAGGCGGAGCCAACCCTCCGGGGTCGAACGAGACGGAGCCAACCCTCGGGAGTCAGCCGAGGCGGAGCCTGCGGCCTCAGTGTCCACCGAGGCGGAGCCAACCCTCGGGGGTCGGATGAGGCGGAGCCCAGCAAGAGGTGTAGTCGCGCTCTTGACCGCTCGGATGAATCAACGTTGATGGTTATTAGCTCTTCCTATTCGGGTACTTTAGTATTGGTCCCCGACACCATGTCTCACGCGGTGAAAAAAATCGACGATTCTCGCAAGTTGCTTAGTGGGATTATTTCGATTTTGCGGTGGGGCGGCCATCGGAAACAAACACGACCTAGAACGATATTAGGAGGGAACGAGATGATATGTTTTCAGAGGACGACGAAAAACATCATATTAGAGGAATATTATCTCATGAAAGCAAACCCCCCGTCTCTGCTCCTACTCACTCGTTTTTATGTGAATTGATTCATGTGCGAATTGTACGTGTAATAATAATAATACTCTCATGCAAGCAAAATATCTCATCCCATTCCCATGACCGAAAGAAAGGCCGAGCGGCCGTAGTACGCCAAACGGAAACGAACGGGAGCATGCACCATCCAGACTTTCAGAGTGCAGTGACAGGGAAACGACATGAGGCGACCTCCCCATCACGCGCCCTGCCGCCGCGGTTTTTTCTGCGTGGCCGCTCGGACGACACGACGGCCGGCCTGGGCCGGGTGCATCGTGCATGCTTGCTTCGCTTTGCTTTGCCGTTTACGCTGGTCGTGGCCGGCCGGCCCGTGGCACCGCCCCGGAAAAGCGCACCAGTTACCACGTTGCGTGCTATCTGTCCATCCTCCTCGCCCCGCCGGCGCCTCCTGCTTGCTGCTGCAGCCTGCAGGTTTGGTGAGCCCGGCCAATCACGACGCGCCAGTCCAGTCCCGGCGAAAGCGACGCCGCGTGCGTGCTCTGTTTGGTGGGAGCGGAGGTGGGACTGGGAGGAAAGCGACGGCAGGCGATCGTTCACGGGCGGTGGCCTGATCCCTGATGCTCTCTGCTCTGAATGGCGCACTGGCCTGGATCGCACCAAGCGGACGCACGGCGGCTACACGCACCGGATGGGAGCTCCCCGCTGACGGAGGCACGCCCGCCTGACGCCGGCGTACGTGCTGTGCATCAGTGCGTGGTTGCGGTTTCCGCCGGGGCAGGCGGTCGTGGCCGACGTGGCGGCGAGGGGTGATTGGGATGCATGGCCTGGGTTTGTCAATCGCTAGATGATCCATAGGACTTCGTCGTCGTCGACGGATACCTTTATTTGGCTATTCCGCATTTCTTTTTCTTTTCTTTTTCTGGTGGTGACGCTTTGACGACCGATCTGCGCCGCGACGTCTGGAGCGCTGGAAATTCAGCAGGAGCGATTTTTCAATTGCTGTGACGTGGGTTGGAGCTCGGACGTGGCGGCCGTGCAGTCAGGACGTTTGACTTCAGAATGGCAGGCCGACCGGCTTACGCTTTACCTGAGGTGCATGCATGATTGGTCCATGCAGACATAGCATGCAGTAGAGTAGAAGATAAAGTTCCACCAGCAACTGTCAATTCTTTTTATATGTTCCCGTCAAATCGTCTAGTGAGGCATTTACGTGCCAGTGGGGTTCTTGACTTCATGTGCCTATAACTACATCCTGTTCGGTTGGCTGGTTCGTTTCATTGCTGGTTCGTGAAGAAGTACTGCTGACTGATTTGTGTGAGAGAAAAATACTGTTCTAGCTGGAAATTTACGATCGTTTACGACAAGCCACAGCCAAACGAACAGGCTGTATAAGCTTCGGCTCCACCAACTTGCTACATGAGAAATTGAGAATAGTAAGGGTGGTTTCATTCTCGAGGACGAATCCAAGTTCAGCACTTCTGCATATGCGAGCCTTTTTCTCGTTGCAATAAAACAAAGAAGCCCATGCACTGTACATTGTCAATACATTTGATTTGAAAGCAGTTTCTTTTAGGAAAAGAACAGTAAACACAAAGAGAGGAAAAAAATAAAGTCAAATAGTTGGGTTCATAATTGTATTTGGCCCAGATATGGAATGTAACAACGGCCCATCAAAATGCACCTGATTCCTCACAACTCCCAGCCCAAACTGTCGTGTGTATTTCCCGGCTTCCAACACTTCCGACCTCCGTGATCACCACCAAACCAAAGCCCCGAGAAACCCTAGCCCCTAGGGCCTAGACCAGCAGGGGGCGCCGCGCAGCCATGGCGAAGAACCGGAACAAGAAGAACAAGGCCAAGAAGAGCGGCGGCGTCGCCGCCATGGACACCTCTGAGGGCGGCCCTGCCACATCCACTGCCGCGGACGCCCCACAACGTAATTCCCCCCTTTCATTTTCTTTTAATTTTTGGGGTGTTTTTGTGTTCGCCTATTTTAGCTTCTATAAGATGGCTCGGTTCATGATTTTTTTTCTTTGCCTGGCAGCAATGGACACGTCCAAGGGAAAGCAGCCATCGTCGGCCACCGCGGCGCTCGGTTCGATCAACAAGTAAGCTAATTGCAGTGCAGCAATTACTATTACTTTTATATTTATAATTATATATGTGTGCACAGAGGCTCGTTCTGTCAATTATTTTGCCGGGCCTTTAATAACCTGCCATATTATTGTGACACTGTTATTGGTGGAACACTGGAACTCAATCCAACAATAATAATATGTCAATGTGGGTTGATATGCTCGCCGTTTTTGCTAGCTAGGTTGCTTTGGTAGGTAGGGAAACCTTTTAGTTTGGACTTTGGTGTGTATCAGCGCTAATTTTTTTGAGACTGCTCTTGTAATTATCTCTCTGTGTGATTGTGTTAACTGTCACTGACACAATCGAGTGCCACAAAGGGGCACATGGGCAAGGAGTGTTTGAAATTTGAGGTGTTTTCACATAAACTTTGATTTTAAATTTAGAAGTCAAATTTGAATTAGAAGGGAGTTTACAGAAGAGGAAAAAAAAATGAAAAAAAGGAATAAGGGGAGCAGTTGCTGCTAGGCCACTTCAAGGTCCAAGGCCGAGCGGACCAGCTACCTGCCTGCTCTGACGGTGCCTTAGCCCTTCCTCGTGAAGGAACGCAGTGGCTGCAGCTCGTGGCTCTGTTCTAACTGGGTTGCTGGTGCGGCACTTCTCTACAATGGGCGTGGAGTGGCATGCCATCAGACTGTGAAATCTTGGCAATCAAAGCGCCGAAACCTCCCCATTGCTCCTCCACCTGCTCTCCATCTTCCTGTCCAGTGATGCTTTAGTGCTAGGCTGCTAGCCCTGTGCGTATTCGTCTCCTCGTTCTGCGCATGGCGCCTAGTTACTGTACGGTTGTGACTAAGCAAAAGCACGAAAAGGCTGTGGCGTGCTTGTGTCCTGGTTAGGTCAGTATGGTTTGTGCCGGTCTCATGTGATCCCTGTGGCTTGGTGGTGGTGCTCAGTCATGGTGTTATCTTGGTGAGCTTGCAGCCCTAAGCAGTGGTTGTTTGTGTGACTGCGCGTAGCTGAGGCATGGTGACAGAGCTCGATCAACTCACTGGCATGGGTGGTGTTGTGCATGCATTGTGCTTTGCTTGTGTCGCGCAGGGATAGGCGACCTCTGGTTGGTGCACAGCCACCTTGCACCGGAAACACAATGTCCATAGTGTGGTTGTGATAACTGCTGGCACAAAAGCACCAGGGCCGCACCCACATGCACAGCACAGCACGAGCTTGCCAGCACAATACTAGTGAGCCGCTGAGCTTCTGCCACACAGCCCAAAGGAGCACAGGGACAGCAGTGGAACTGGACGACAGGGAGATGTGGAGATCTGGTGGAGAGTTGTGTGTTCTGATGGAGAAGGGAGACTCTGCTCTGTGTTTGAAGCCTCTCTGGTAGGGTTTCACAGCCAGCTGATCTGTGCCCATTGTGGAGATATGCCGCAGAATGTGGAGGCAGAAGCTGCTGCCTTCCTTCACGAGGTAAGGCATGGGTGGAGCAGGCAGCCAGCTGGCTAACTTGACCCAAACATTGAAGTGGCCCAGCGACAGCCTCCCTCTATTACCCTTTTTTTCTGGAAGTTTCCTTGTAACCCAAATTTGATTTAACATTTATAAATTCGAAACCCCTCAGGTTTTCCAACATGAGATACCTCCTCAATTTTATGTTGAAAATACACTTTAGCCATGAATAGTTTCTCAATGTGTCAATACCTTGATTTATATACCAAATTGTATGTGCGCTCCATGCATGCTGTTCCAAACGACTAGGAAATTGTTTCTGCAATGCACCTTTGGATGTGAGGATTGTGGATTTTTCAAGCATATTGCTCTGACTTGGCTTGTGAAATGTGTTAGTATAATATGCTCCGTTAATTGACATAAAGCAGCAACATCTGGTTTGGATATCATTCTTATGTGTTATGTGGATTATTAAACAAAAAAAATCAACTGATTGGAAGTTGTTGAGAAAAGTCAAAGTTTTCAGAAATCAACAAATGGAAAATAATTGGCATCCGTGGTAGCTGTGGAGGACTTGTTAAGTAGTTATGACTGAAAGATATTAACTACAAGCAGACTGTACACATGTGGGTACACCTCTTTTCAGTTCATAGATCTTCAATGTAGAAACAAAACTGGCTGTATCTTCCCCCCAATGTTTATTTGCCCAAATAGCCCAAACCTGCTGCGTCTACCAAATACTTATCAGTGTCTCATGAGCCTTCACAGCTCAGTTTGTAGTATGGAAGTTTGCACTCAAGTTGGGTTAACTTGACTTTCTGTTTTGACCTAATTAGCATTTATAGTTCACTACTAGTAGACTCCTGAGGATCAACGTTGTTTTCTTCTATGGTCATGTAAGGTTGAGCTGTAGTCAACTGTGTCTGGTCTTAGTGAGGTATCTCTTCATACATTAGATATTATAGGCTACTAAGAGTGAATTATTGAAGTTACTGCTCTCCTATCCCCTTCAGTAACTACATTTGAAAGTTTTCTGATATATGCTTAGCTCTGTTACCTGAAATTTGCAATGTTGTGATACATGTCCTCAGTCTGTTCTTTGTCTCTTTAACTAGGAAAATAAAAAAGGGAGTGCATATGAAAAGGTCACAGAATGCTAGGAAAATGAAAGCAATTGCTAGGGCTGTATCAAAGAATGAAAAGTCTGAGGAGAAGATCCAGAAAGCAAAAAGCAAGAAGACAAGAACTCAGTCTGCCAAGTCTTTGTATGACTGAATATTTTGCACTAAGCAGAATTTTGTGTACCCGTATATTTCTAGCTTGTAGAGCAACCGAATCTGTGCTTGACAAAGAAATGAAAACATGTTTTGCTTACAGATCTTCTTGTCAGCTTCTTTACAAGATCTCAGGAATTGCCTTCCGCACTACCTGGTGATAGTAGCAGATTAAGGTTTGATTCTTTGATATTGACCTCAGGATATAGTGACCAAGTGCTAGGTCTATTCTTAAATTCTGGTGCCGTTTGCTGAATCGGCGACATATTGTCACTGAGTCCTGTTAGATTTATTTTCAGTGTTCAAGGTTCTTTCTTATGTGTTTCCATGGAAGGCTCCTCTGTAACCGTAGGCAGTCTTGTGGAGTTTCACCATTTTGCTATTTCTTTGAGCCTGGACGGTCATCTGGTGCTTACTGGACCGAAGTCGTAGGGAAGGATGTGTAAGCATGCTGTTGATGAGAGGGTATATACCATGTTCTATCTGTTGAAGAATCAATATGGTCCTAGGTACATACGGCTTTGTGGCAAGATATGTTTCCTGGAATGGCTTTTTGCGATAATGAAAAGGTAAAGCAAATCTCCTATTGTTCCCTTTTCTTCCTGGAATGGCTTTTTTGCGATGAAAAGGTAAATCAAATCTCCTTTTGTTCCCTTCTCCTTTTGGCCAAGAACCCAAACAAACTCCAAAGGCCTTTTTCTTGAAGCCTTTGAAGATTTATATCTGCATCTGGGATGTTCATAGGGCGTGGTATACTGGAATGTTCCTTGCTGTGTTGTGCCACTAATTTGGTAGTAGTAATCATCTGTTATGCCGGTAGTATTCATTTGTGTTATGCCACGTCCAACGTGCTATTGGCTACGTCATTTGTATGTATTGGATTTACTGTTGTCCTGTTCTGATTGGCTATCCAACTTGTTGGAGAAAATGGAGTTCAGGTCCGGTTCTAATGCAAGACAGAAACTTTCTGTATAGGGCTATAGGCTCCACTCCTGAGTTCGGAGCTCGAAGTCATCTGTTTTAACAGCTTTATGCCCTGTGTATCTTAAGGACAAAAAAAAAAAGTCGTCCGTTTTGACAAGAGCTCAGGTCCCATTTTAGGGGCTAAAATATTTTATACAATATATATAACTCAATTGATTGAAAGGTCTCTTCTTGCCCACTCCCTCTGATCTAAGATATATACAAAATAAACGTCAGCCCATATGCGATAATCTGGTCAATAATCGATGTCCTACAAATTATATAAAATACCTTCTCTGATGTCATTTTGACGGTTTAACTCAGTCTCCTCTTACTTCTCTCCAATCTGTGTCCTCTTCAGTGTGGCAATCATAGTCATAGGCTGTAGTCATAGCGTCGCAAGGAACGGTAAGGCTAGAGGATTCGTGGAGCAAAAGGTCTTCCAACGTTTGCTCAGCCATGCGTTATCACACCCGGGATCGCGTATCGATCGGCCGGCGTATTCGAAACGCACCGTCTCCTTGCTCCCTTGCGGTTCCGGACCGCACCTCTGCCGTCGTGTTCACCCGGCGCCGTTTTCGTTTGGCGTCAGGGAAAGCTGTGGGGACATCGCCACGTTCCCAGTGAGGAAAACGACCTCCTGAGGATTGGTTCTTTCAGTCACCAGTGACACTGACACTGACATTTTTTTTACTTGACAACCACCGCTTTCACGTCCTAGTTCTCCACTTTTTGTGTATCTGTGGTTGTGCCAGCTCTTGTGCTGGGTCGTGTCGTTGTTATTTTCTCATTAGTAGATGTGCCACAATTTACTCCTTGTACTAGTGATGTTGCATTGGTTTCAGTCCGGTTTTTTAAAATTAACCGGACGACAGTTACCTCGTTCTCTAAAAATTAGGTTATCGATGATAAATCAATACTATTTGGGTGGAGATTTCCTCTCTCGTGACGGTTAAAAAAAAAGAACAATTCCCTCGCTATACAACGGTCATTAATCAGTGCAGCTATTTTAGGACACTAAGAGGTATTCTCTCCGTCCCACAATAGAAGTCGTATGGGATACGCGCATGTCAAACTTTCTCAACTTTGACGAGGTTTGTAGAAAATGCTTGCAACATTTATATCTGCAAATAAGTTTATTATAAAAGTATATTCAACGGTCTATCTAATAATACTAATTATGTATTATAAATATTAATATTATATATATATATATATATATAATTGGTCAAAGTTAAAAAACTAACTTATCAGGAAGCGAGAACGACTTCTATTTTGGGACAGAGGGAGTATGCATTTTGGTTTGTTACGTCAGTTTTTTTTCTCTCAATTGAAAAAACACATTTCTACTAGGATCTTACCTCCTCTGGTCACAACTTAAGTCAAGCTTTCGGTTACACTCAGTCAATTTGGTTGAAAAGTACCTTTTGTGTTGATTTTAGGTAGTAGAAAATGGTGCCACTAGGTTTGCATCAAGAGCCAAGTATAACTTGTTATGCTTCGTAAATATATGGTACAACAAAAAAGCACTAGTAGTAAAATTTTGTTTTGGAGACCGGTTGACACCCAAAAGATCGAGAACTTTTATCCTGCAAACAGAATACATGGTTCCTCCTCCTGATGCAAGTAACATATTCTGCAGTCCAGGTTGTAAGTGTATTTCAGTGCTCATTTAAGTGGGGGTAAATATGAAAGATTGAAGCAAAAATGTGCATTTGAGTTCTCATAGGCTTAAATCTAGGATCAAAGGAAGTAGTGTCGACTACACTTAAAAGAGACATTCTTATTTGAAGAGTCGTTAGAATAAAAATCGTTTTCTATATTTTTTTCACTTTTCAACCGTCCGGAAAAAAATCGAGGCGCATCTAAGAACTATTTGAATACTAGTGAGTTGTTACCCTTAATGAGGGCCGCCATTTATCTGCACTCCATATGGGGTGTGGTGGAGGTGTCTTGTGTGAGGTACAAGTTAACTACTCCCTCCATCCCTAAAAGATGGTCGTTCTAGGATCTTGGGAGAGTACTAAGAAAGAGCAAAAATGACCTGCATACCGCTACTTTTACAATCACTGCTCCACTTTCATGCCGTTCAAGCTATCTGGCTCTGGTGTTGCCTCCAACAATGAGTGGTGAGACAGAGTAGTTGAGCTATGACACGGTAGGTGTAGGATCCACAAAGACAACATCCAACGATACTCTCTAAGGGACAATTTTTGAAAGCTACAATAACTTTCTTTTTGGTACAAAGAGAGTACAATTTAAATATTCAATCACATATGAAATTCTTCCGGTACATGTATATAAGCTAAAATCGGATGACCTAGTTTGACAGAGGGACCGTGTATCAATTTTTGTTATCATTCCTCACTTGTTAGGCCGTGTATCAATTTTTGTCGTCATTCCTCACTTGTTAGGGTTCCACCTAGTAGTTCTAAGGGTCTCCCAACACCCAACAATCTATCTCTCAACAGAACTATTAGCGTGTGTTGTGTGGTCACTAATTGAAACCACATGCAGTCGACCTCCACTGTAAACACACAATGACTTCGTGCGATCATGGCTCCGTTCGGCTTGCTGAAACTTGGCTGAAAGTGGCTGAAAACGATATTCTAGCTGAAATGTTGTGAGAGAAAAATATTATTTCGACTGAAAAAGAAGCCGAACAAGCTGGATATAAGGTAAGTCGAACGAGGCCAAACTGCTAACTGTTGGTCATGTGCCCAATTAATATGCTGGTCATGCGTGATTACGGAGTTTCACTGTAGCTGTAGGCTTGCCATCTAGTACGTTTGATGCAGCGGCGGATCTACGAAATATTTTAGGGAGACTGAACAACACATACTGCTAGATCTTAAGTCTCAGCCCCCCTACACTATAGAACTTTGCCTAAAAATTTATGGGGCTCTACAGGGTTTTCCACAGCTCCGGTATGTCTCGAGCCGCCTAGGCTTGCCATCTAGTAGTACCTTTGATGCTTCCTATGGCGACAATTGGAGCATGCCAGCGAGCCCCACTGCTCTGGTGCCTCTCTCTCTACGCCTCTATACGCAAATAGATTCAACTATCCAACAACGTGCTCATGCCAGCCAGCCCCACTGCTCTGGTGCCTTTCTCTCTACGCCTCTATGCGCAAATAGATTCAACTATCCAACAACGTGCTTTGGGCCTACCTTTGTCGAATTTCATGGGCTCATGTTCATGGCCTGTGCCTGCTGGGTGCTGCCATCCTGCCCACTAGTTGAGACTTATTAAAAGAGAAATCCAGTTTGTTTAGACACAATAGTCCGTATAACGAAGATGAACTCTGGATAATGGCTATACGTATTTTGTTGTTGGTAGCTCACGCGTTGTCCAGTTTAAACATCTGATTAGCGTAATGGGACAAGGATATCAAGGCTGTGTTGGGATCTAAAAAGATAATAGTTAGCCGCTAATAATTAGTCAATCGGCCTCTTTACTGGTTGATTTTTGGGTTAGCTGGTGCTGGTTTGTTGTGAGAGAAAAATACTGTTGGCTGGTTGGTTTGGGCTGTCTAAAACCTACAAGCAAACATTTTGAATGTCTAGCTAAAAGTTTAGCTAATTATTAGCTGAATACTCAACTAACGACTATTTCGCTAGTTAGACCAAACTAGCTAATAATAGCAAATATTAGTTCTGACCTATTAGCTAGCTAACCATCGACAAATAATTGATCCAAACATGTCCCAACTGTCACGTGCCACCTAAAAAATGGTCTAGTGGGCCATCTGTAACACCCTAATTTTGCATTTTCCAAAAAAATAGCCAGATTGATTTATTTAAGCAATTTATGTGAGCATTCAAACATAGGAAAGTAATATTTTTTATAAAACTAAAATCAAATATAAGATTAGCTACAAGTGATGCATACATGCTGCTGCATATTTATTTTCGTGATGAATGGTTTTGATTCAAAATCCAAATGAATTCAAAATCTAATTGAAAATGGATTTGGAAAATTGTTGGAAAAAGGAAAAGAATTATTTTTTCCCTCTCCCTCCCTTCCTTAATTCTCGGCCCGCTCCTCCGCCAAACATTGACTCCCTCTCCCTCCCCTTCTCCTCATTTACGGCCAAGGCCCGGCCCTGAAAGAGCAGCAGGCCCCAGCTCGGCCTCCCCAGGCGCCTACTGCCCAAGAATCACACACTTGATTGACTCACTTTTGACCAGTGACTGAAGAATCATTGCCGCCGCTCCCTTCCCCACGTTTCTGCCTGACACCGGCCCGCCCGTCGGTAGCGTTCCCCACCTCCGTCCGCGCCCGAAGTCAGACGGAACCAACGCCAGAATCAAGCGCCCGCTCCCCACGTCGTGGGAGCGCCCCCTCCCCACGCCCCGACCTCTTTTTAAGCGAAGCCGAGCCCCCGCGCGTCCCTCTCTCGCTCCCCGCTCCATTTTTCGCTCTCGCTCACGCCTCGGAAGCCGCAACCGCCGAAGAACGCTGGGATCCACCGTGCGCGAGCCGCCGTCCCCGAGCCATCTCCGACCTTGTTTTCCCCGTGGTAAGAATCCCCTTGCTCCCCTCTCTCTCCCCTACCTTTTACCTTGGCATTTGGTGGCTTGTATGGCCGTTTCGCGTGCGCCCGGGAAGCTCTTGCTCGCCGGCCATGGCGACCGCTGCCTCGGACCTCTCCTCCGGCCGTCTTCTCGGCATGGCCGAGGTCGCATGAACCCGCGCCACCTCCTGGTGCCCTCGGTTGGGAAAACCGTGGCCCCTTGCCCCTGTACCACGCGCTCCGGCGACCTCCACGCCGCCGGCGATGGCGCCTTGCCGCCAGCCACACTGTTCCGGCCGGCCACCCCTTGTTCTCTCTCCCCCGGATCTATTTCTGGCCGTTCATTTCAAATCCAACGGCCACCGTTGGCCGATACCCCTCCGTAGGTGAATATGCTAAAGAGCCCCTCTGTTTTCATGTAATAAAACCCGCCGTCCTTAGCGTATTCCCCCGTGTACGCTTTCTCATTTTGAACGCGTAAAGTTGACTGTGTTAATTCAAAGTACGTTTTTAGTATTTACAGAAATGCCATTTGAACTGTTTTGCTTATAAAATCGTCGTTTTAGCTTCGAATTGATCCGTTCAAATTGCGTTAGCTTCGTAATTTCATAATCTACATGTTAGAACCACTGTTAGTCAAGTTTGAGACTTTTAAATTTCATGGTTAGAATTAATTAAATATATTGCTATAGGAAATCCTGTTTAAATCATAACTTTCGCATTTTAGCTCCGTTTTTCGTGAACTTCGCGTTGACGTGATCGTAGCGAGACGTATAATATGTTTACAAATATTTTATCTTGTTTTCAATACTGTTGGTGTACTGTTCTAATGATAGGAATGTTTGCTTTGTATGAATGCTTTTGGAATGTTGTATGTTGCCGTGTTGGTCGCGTTCAGACGGTGAGGAAAACGTTGGAGACCAAGAATACTTCAACGACCAGCAGGACCAGCAAGAGTTTGTGAACCAAGGCAAGTATAGCATGGGATCTACCTTGATGCCTATTCACCTTTATTAATTACTCATTTGCATGTGTCTAATTTTGATACCCGTAAGGACATCCTAGTGATTGATTATCATGTTCCTTGTCTCCTATGGGTTATATGCATATGGGTAGTTTGCTAGCGCTCAATGTAACTATACCTGATCTACATAACGAACAATGGTTCTGTGGAAGAAAAGGTAAAAGTTGCTTTTAAACAACCGGATTATAGGGCGATGGAGCAAATGACTTTTGATCATGATGCTCTCGGCCCTCTATAAGGACTTATCTGTCGGCAAAAGCTGTGACTGACAGTGCAACCGTGAGGGTCATATGGCTCTGACTTTAGCTCAGTAATAGGACCTTTTCTAGCTTGTTAGAGGTTACCTTTATGGCGCAAAAGGGGCTTACCATGTTGGGTATAGGACTGCCTCTGTTCCTATGTGTATAGCCGCGATGGATATGTGCCATAGGAAAGGGGGGTTCCTACATCTGCCTGCCAAGGAAACCTAGCGGCCCTAACTTGTTAGAAAAAACCTATGAAATGGCTTCATAGTGTACCCTGCCCGCTCACCTTAGCAGTGACATGGGAGTAATTAACCCGGGCATATGGGGATCACGACTCGCGGTGAATGTGCACCACCTCTGTAGAGGGTAACAAACTGTTATAATAGCCGTGCTCACGGTCATGAGCGGCCCGGAAAACTCACAGAATAAATGGCTACTTATAATGATGTTTATACGAGATGATTGTGATGATATTATGATGATGTTACATGACTCAATTGGATCGGATATATGATCATGTGGGTTTAAATGGGAGCTTAAGCATAACTTGATAATAGTTGAGGATAAAATCTTGACTTACTAAAAGTGCTAACTGCAGTAAACCAGTGTCAATCTTTTTTAGCTTCATAACCCCATGTTATCTTGTTGAGTACGGGACGTACTTACGCTTGTTTACTTTCTATATTTGGATAAAAATTCCGGATGGGTAACAGATGACAACGGATATGAGGAGTTTCCTGAGGATTATTAGGCTTGTGGTCAACCAGTCGACCGTCCCTGTGATGGAGTTCCACGAGAGAGTTATCTTTTTATCTTCCGCTGTGTTATGTAAGACAATGTGATGCTATTATTCGTTATGTAAGATACACCGTGATGATACTTTTTATAATTTGTCAACTTATGTGTGTGACTGATCCCTGGGCACACATGAGTTTAATGCATTCAATTTTATCCTTAAAATTGGGTGTGACACCATCAATGGCAGTGATTGTAATTGTAATATATAATAAACTGAGATGATGCTAAGCATAGCTTCTCTGCTAGTACAAACAATATATTGAATACTTTACTTCATAAAATAAAATAAAAATTTTGGCAATCTAAATTTGATTACTGGAATTTATTTTTTTGCTCGAAAGGACAAGGAATTATAAGAAGACACCCACCACTTTTACCTACCAAGATCCATCCGAAGAACTATTTGAATACTAGTGAGTTGTTACCCTTAACGAGGGCCGCCATTTATCTGTACTCCATATAGGGTGTGGTGGAGGTGTCTTGTGTGAGGTACAAGTTAATTACTCTCTCTATCCCTAAAAGAGGGTCGTTCTAGGATCTTGGGAGAGTACTGAGAAAGAGCAAAAATGACCTGCATACCGCTACTTTTACGATCATTGCTCCACTTTCATGCCGTTCAAGCTATCTGGCTCTGGTGTTGCCTCCAACAATGAGTGGTGAGACAGAGCAGTTGAGCTATGACACGGTAGGTGTAGGATCCACAAAGACAACATCCAACGATACTCTTTAAGGGACAATTTTTGAAAGCTAAAATAACTTTCTTTTCGGTACAGAGAGAGTACAATTTAAATATTCAATCACATATGAAATTCTTCCGGTACATGTATATAAGCTAAAATCGGATGACCTAGTTTGACAGAGGGACCGTGTATCAATTTTTGTCATCATTCCTCACTTGTTAGGCCGTGTATCAATTTTTATCGTCATTCCTCACTTGTTAGGGTTCCACCTAGTAGTTCTAAGGGTCTCCCAACGCCCAACAGTCTATCTCTCAGCAGAACTATTAGCGTGTGTTGTGTGGTCGCTAATTGAAACCACCTGCAGTCGATCTCCACTGTAAACACACAATGACTTCGTGCGATTATAACTGCTAACTGCTGGTCATGTGCCCAATTAATATGCTGGTCATGCGTGATTACGGAGTTTCACTGTAGCTGTAGGCTTGCCATCTAGTAGTACCTTTGATGCTTCCTATGGCGACATTTGGAGCATGCCAGCGAGCCCCACTGCTCTGGTGCCTTTCTCTCTACGCCTCTATACGCAAATAGATTCAACTATCCAACAACGTGCTTTGGGCCCACCTTTGTCGAATTTCATGGGCTCATGTTCATGGCCTGTGCCTGCTGGGTGCTGCCATCCTGCCCACTAGTTGAGACTTATTAAAAGAGAAATCCGGTTTGTTTAGACACAATAGTCCGTATAACGAAGATGAACTCTGGATAATGGCTATACGTATTTTGTTGTTGGTAGCTCACGCGTTGTCCAGTTTAAACATCTGATTAGCGTAATGGGACAAGGATATCAAGGCTGTGTTGGGATCTTAAAAGATAATAGTTAACTGATAATAATGAGCTCAACTAAAAGTTTAGCTAATTATTAGTTGAATACTTAACTAACTACTATTTCACTAGTTAGATTAAACTAGCTAATAACAGCTAATATTAGTTCTGACCTCTTAGCTAGCTAACCATCGACAAATAATTGATCCAAACAGGTCCCAACTGTCACGTGCCACCTAAAAATTGGTCTAGTGGGCCATCAATGGCAGTGATTGTAATTGTAATATATAATAAACTGAGATGATGCTAAGCATAGCTTCTCTGCTAGTACAAACAAGATATTGAATACTTTACTTCATAAAATAAAATAAAATTTTTGGCAATCTAAATTTGATTACTGGAATTTATTTATTTTCCTCGAAAGGACAAGGAATTATAAGAAGACACCCACCACTTTTACCTACCAAGATCCATCCGAAGAATTCCACGCAGCATCCTACCTGTACTTCTAGAGGCTTAGCGGTGATCTCTGATCTGGATGGAGAATAGCCGTCAATAAAAGTATAAAACTTGGGATCAGCCTCCCACAAATTCCCAATATTACCAGGATTTCTTTACCAAAACACCATTAAAATTCCTACACACTGAACCATTCGTACAAATACAACACACCATACACCACACGTACACACATATACATACTCAACACGACCACACGTTATACTCCTACATACATACGGAGTCCCCCACCCGAAAGGCGCCAACGAGGATATATATTTAACCGCCCCAACCACGCACCTTCTCCTCGCCTCGTCCCCAAACCTCTGCTACCTTCGCTTGGCTTCGCTTCCAACCCCACCGATACGTCCGAGCAAGCTACACTACAAGCTTGACCCGCCACGTGCTTCCATGGCCCGTCCCCAGCCCCAGGCCGAGGTCCTGACCGAGTCAGTGCGGGTCAACAGCACCGAGGTGGAGGCCACGCTCAGGGGCGGGGAGCTGGCGTGGCGCCCCGCCGGCGGCGGCAACGGAGAGGGGCAGGAGCGGCGGCTGGAGCTGGAGTCGGAGGTGCTCGGGTGCCGGGTGGACGGGAGGAAGCTCAAATTCGCGACCTTTGCCGCGAGCGGCGGCGATAATGGGAAAGGGGGAGGAGGGGCCGCGAATCGGAGGAGAGGGGAGGTCGTGGTGGAGATGGAGGACGAGGATGCCGCGGTGCGGTGGGGGAACGCCATCAGGGATCGCCTCGCCTCGCTCGGTAATCAGTATCAGCTGTTACTCTGCTAGCTGCAATTCGATTATTTTAATTCAATTCTACTGCATCCTACTATGTTTTTTTTAAAGAAAAAATTGTCCTGCATCTTGGGAATTGTGCTTGGCCCATGATGTGATCGATCTGGTCACACTACGATTGTTTTTTAGTTCAATCGCGTGGTTGGAGTTTTGGCATTCCCTGGACGCCTGGTTCTTGATCGGGTAGGCGGCGGTAGTTGCGTCATGCGTGGTGGACTTGAGGAGTTCGTTGACTCGATTGGATAGCTGGGAGAGGGGGGAAAAATCTGCTCCTGATAGTAAGGGGAAAACATCAAAACAAAACCAGAAGAGAGTGTCCAGCCGCTTTGGTTCGCTTCAACGAAAATAATTTGAAGCAATTGGTTCTAGATTGTAATGGTCGTATGCGTGCACAGATCTTTCTTATGCGTGAAACTGTGCGGTTGAATAGCTGTTCTTCTGGGCATGATCTGGTCAAAGCGTCAAATGTACAAATGTAGCAGTATGCAAGGTGCCAACTAGTCGAGTCCTACAGAGTTTGAAAATTCTCCATGGATTCTTCTTCAGTATCTGGTCTACTCAATTGCCACGGTTGGCTTCAAATGGGCATGTTGCTGATGGTGCACATCGCACAAAGCTTGCATTTCAATTATTATCACCCCGAGCAAGTCAGAGCCGTGTATGTGTGTCTAAATAATGCCTGTTCATTTTGTGCAATGCAGCAGTGATACTTTGCAGTAGTAATGTTATGCCTGTTCATGTTATGCATATTTTGTGCAATTTTTTTGTTCTTTTGTGAGATTTTGTTGAATGTTCCTCTCAGTGTCACCCATTGCCATTTAACATCACCCTTGAATGTTGCATTAGCTATCATACTCGTAGGATGCAAGTGGGTACTCAAAGGTATTTTATGTGTCAAATAACTTAGTCCATTTCTCCCCTTAAATTAATTACGTGGCATGCCATTCTAGTTCATTTTATCAAGTTCTGGGTCGATCCAATGACTCAGAACATGGGATACTTGCATCCCTAGCTATCAATACAAAATATCGGAGCTGACCTTTTTTGCTCAGTTATTCATCATTGATAGTGCTGATCTAGTGCTCTTTTCTCCTCTGCATATTTCTGTTCCATTTCTAGTTGGTACTAGCTCATGCTTCTCTAACTCCTTTGGAAAAGCATAGTAGATTAGCAACTGAATTAGAACACCGGTTTTACCTACTCATGGTCCCTTAGGTATTCCTCCTGCAATATTGCCACAGGCCGGCCAAAGAGATTGTTAATTATAGTGAACCCTTACGGTGGAAAGAGAAGCGGACGGAGTATTTTCCAGAATGACGTCCTCCCTCTCATTGAAGCTGCTGGTGTGCTTTATACGATGCAAGGTTTGGTGGTCTATGTTTATTCATCATATTTTTGGGATTATAATTGTGGTGCCTGCTATTTTGTATCTAATTTCAAATTGTGAAACATGTTTAGAAACCAAGCATCGCCTTCATGCTCAAGAGATTGCACATTCACTTGATCTTAGGAAGTATGATGGCATCATTTGTGTCAGTGGAGATGGTGTGATGGTAGAGGTTAGCAAAGAACCACATTTTCCATATGCGAATGCAATTCTGTGCAATTTGTTATGCTCTGAAAATTCGCATGTTTTCAGATATTTGAGCACTGTTGATTCTATTTGCTTGCTTGCTATGTTTTGTTTCTTTCTCTTATTGTTATTTTATTTTGTTTTTAGGTTGTCAATGGCCTCCTGCAAAGGGAGGACTGGGAGACAGCAATAAAAGTGCCCCTTGGGATCATTCCGGCAGGTACATTATCATAGCAGGTCCTTTATCATATGGATGTAATGATGTACATTAGTGAGTAGTACTGTGTCTTAGGTTCATTTTCATATGCAATCATTACAAAAGCCGTTTAACCAAGATTAGTTGTAGCCTGTAGCTTTTTCACTTTTTTGTTCAGATTTTAGCATTTATGCACTTTATTGTCATGCTCTGGGCAGACTTTTCACACAATACAATGTGCAACAGGTACTGGAAATGGAATGGCACGATCTCTATTGCATGCTTCTGGTGAACCATTCTCTATATCCAATGCTGTGTTTGCAATCATCAGAGGTCAGTATTTTCTCCTTGTTTTTTGCCACCTTTCATCTAGCAGCCACATTATCTCACCCATTTATGTGTTTGAACAATTGCTGATGCAGCTTCTTTCTGTTACACAGGTCATAAACGTGCACTTGATGTTACTTCTGTTGTGCAGGGAAATACAAGGTTCTTTAGTGTCCTCATGCTTACATGGGGTATGCAGCATATAATCTCTATGCTAACTCTTTCAAAACAACAGCTGAGACATAGGCCACCTTCCTCAGAGATTGCTCTGTCACTTTCTCTTTTGCTGCATTAAAATTTAATTGACAAGCCTGAAAATGATCTACGAACTGCAGGTCTGGTGGCTGATGTTGATATTGAATCAGAGAAGTATAGGTGGATGGGAAGTGCTCGCCTTGAATTTTATGTATACTTTCTACCCTAAAAGCTTATATCAAGTAGTTGATTTTCTTTTTTTATATCTGTAAGTTTCTGTCTCTTTTTTTTATACAATGGACTTAACAGAGAGGTGCTGCAGAAATTAGATGTTCTTTCTTGCTGATCTTGCACCAGCTTGGCAGCATCGAGACAGATGCATCTCTTGCTTTAATACTTAGTTCCAAGCTCTAACTGTGGGAAATGGCTTATAGCTTTTCTTTACTTAGATGTGTGTGCATGCATTGTAGCCATAAAAGAAAAGATCATGGTTTGCACTTAGTGTACCTGAAAAAAATGAATCTTCTGCAACATGCTGATTGAGCTCTAGTGCTCATAATAGATGCAGAGGATAATGATATTGAATTGCATAAGTCGCTGTAGCACCTTTTTGTTTTTTTATGTTACTCTGTCTCAGGGTACTTTTGGATCTGTAGAAGCTCACACTGTGCTCTGCCATTTTCAGCTCCTACTCCGCATGCTGAACCTGCGACGGTACAATGGGCGCATCCTTTTTATTCCAGCACCAGGATATGAAGACGTTGGTGATCCTGTGGAGCAAACTACAAACGGGGTTAGCACGGGCATTCAAGAAGACGGAGCAACTGACAGTAATGGTGAAACGTGTGGCTATGTTGGCCCATCGATCAAAGAAGCCGATCGTAGATGGAGATCGCTGAATGGTCCATTCGTTTCAGTCTGGTTCGGCAATGTTCCTTTCGCTAGCGAAGATGCCATGGCAGCACCAAAAGCAGAGGTCAGTCTCTCGCCATTTCGTGCCTTAGGGTTCCACTGTGCTCCATAGCCTGATTCTTTCTTGTTTGTTGCCATGCAGTTTGCGGATGGCTACTTGGATGCTGCCATAATCAAGGATTGCCCGCGGTGGGATGTTGTCGGGCTTATGTTCCAGATGAAGGACGGCACCTACGTGAACTCGCCATGCGTGGAGTACTTCAAGGTGCGTTGCTTAGCCCATGCGTTCTACCCACCCTGTCCATGAACTCTGTCATCAAAAGATAACGAGGTGTGCTGGGGAACTCTGACGAACTGACAGGTGAAGGCGATCCGGATCGAACCGGGCCTGCGCGTGGGCAGCAGCACCAAGGGCGGTATCATCGACTCGGACGGGGAGGTGATTGCGAGGGGCGATGATGGGTCCCACTCCCGCGCCGGCGATGAGCCGGGGCACCTGATGGCGTACGGCCCGCCCATCCAGCTGACGGTGGACCAGGGGCTGGCCACCATCTTCTCCCCGAGATGACGATTCTTCTCTCTGTTCTCCACCGTCTGCGTGTAATTTGCTTCGTTAGCCCTGCCATTTTCCCGTGTAGAATCATGTGCTTCTACTGTACTCACACTCACACCCCACCCCAGTGGAGAGCGATGAGCCAAGAGGGACGGATACTGATCTCCGTCGAGCGTCGAGAGGTTGTTTTCTTTTCATGGCCACAGTCCACATAGCTGCCGCTGCCTTGAGTGCTAGCGTGACAAATGAGAAGTGGTCAGTTCATAATTTTTTTTTCGGGTGTTGTTGAATATCACTTGTACAAGCAATTGGGCTGATCTCCTGCAAACTTGGTGTTAAATCCACCTTAAAAACTTGTACATCCATATTAAAAAAACTTACATTCTAGTTTTATCATAAGTCGAACTATCTTAATTTTGATCAAGCCTATATAAAACCAATGTTTATATCGCGAAATAATAAGTATCACTAAATTTATCATTAACATATTCTCAGAAAATACCTATTTGATATCATAAATGTTGATAATCTATACTCCTTCCGTTTCAAATTATAAGTCGCTTTTGATTTTTTTTTATATAGATTTTGCTATGTATGTAGACATACATTGTATCGAGGTACATACTAAATTTAATGTACTAAAAAATCAAAACGACTTATAATTTAGAACGGAGATAGTATAAAATTGGTCAAAGTGTAAATAACTTTGATGACCTAAAATGACTTTTTTTAAACGGGGATACTACTACCTCCACCCTAAAAAAAGAGCTTTTTTGGACTGAGTCAGTAAATATTATTAATAATTGTATCTCTAATGATACATATTACAAGTCATAAATAGTAGTAGGTTTTTATATATGTTTGATCAAATTTGACATCAATTAATTACTCAAAAAATAAGATAGGATAGATGAGTCTGATTCCAATAGATATTGGAATATATGGCGTGGCCATCATATATATTTCCGAGCCACAAGTCATTTTGTAACCGTACAACAAGATGTAACATGTATGTTTCATTGCAACATACAGCTATATTTACTAGCTAGGAAGTCTCTCGTCACTCTTATGTTGTCCGGGACAAAGTTGATGAGATGGAAACAGTAGCAAAGTAGGACTACAGGAGCAAGGAGGAAGGCAACCGTGGTGCCTCACTAGTCGCTATCAGCCCTATGCTATGGCTATCACACCAAATTGATCTACAACAATTGTTGGCTCTATTGTTGGATGTGCTTTTTAGCCTCAGATTGGGCTGGAGCTTAGACAGGCCCAGTGGCCTGTTGCCTCCTCTCCCTGTCTTCGCTCTTGCCTCGTCATCTTTGACTCGTAGTCGTAGCGCCTCCATTTCTCTCTCTGTCTCGTGTCCCGACGCCAGGTTCATGTGTTCCAGTAGCGAACATTCATGGCAGGGCAGTCTGACCCACACCTCTTCTATCTTGTCGCCTTCCGAGGTAATTGGCCCTTTCCCTTTCACACTCTATAGGGATTATCTTCAAAGGGAAGTAAAGTGGGATTTTTTTGACATGTCTCTCTGATTATCTGTGTTGTGGTGTGCTGCAGGCGGAGCTCATGGCGGAGGATGAGACCATCATCATCGTTTCCAAACTCCACACATGGACGCCTTCAACATGGCCTGTTCGGCTGGTATTAAAGCCGGCTGATAAGCCGGCTGAAACTGTTTTATTGTGAGAGAAAAATACTGTAGATTCTAGCTGATAAGCCGGCTAATAAGTTCAAGCGAACAGGCCTGCGGCATGCATGTCATCCACACCCATTTCCATCTCTTTCAACTCTCAATGTCCCACCTATTCTTATACCTAATACTGTTACCACAATCTCCGTATAGGCTTTGATTGAATGCACTTGTATACACCTCAACCAATGTATGTTTTGGTGGAACTAAACTAAGGGTCCATTTGGTTCATCTATGAGCTATGAAAAAACTGTTATGAGCTATGTGACATTAAAAGGTTGTAAATTGTTTCGTTGAAACAACTATGAAACCTACACACTATCTTTATTTTTCTCAAAATAGTTGTAAAACATCCCTGTATTTTCACTCATTTGGAAAAGTAGAAAATTGAAAGCCAAAAACAGGATCCAAGAGGTTAAGAAAATTGTACTATGAAAGGTGAGTGGTTTTTTGTAGAAAATCAGCTTCAGATTCCACCTTTTTTTATTGGTGTTCTGTTTTTAGAAGTAGAAATATTTTTTAAAAGTTGAACTAAACATAGTCTAAATTCTACTCTAGTCTCTTCGAAAATATATGAATTGATATAAATACGAGTTTCAAACGAGCCCGTATGGAGATTTTGGACCCTTCTTCCCACAACAGATTCCCCATCAAGGTGCCGTCTAGCTCGCCGTCACGATCAAGAAGCATAGCAAGTGCACCATCCTTCACATGTCTTTTCCTTTTGATTTGAAAAAAGGAAGCGCCGTTTTCCGAACGAAGAAAAGAAAAGATAAGGTATTGGGAACGAGTGACCGCGTGAGGCAGCATGGGTGGAGTGGGCCCCAGGGCAGGGTAGCCGCCAAGGCAGGGCGTTCGTGGGCCCTACGAAAGCTGGAGGAGTTCGCACGATGACAATCGCATGGCCACGGTAAACCCTAGCCGCCGGGGCCAGTCAGTCCCCGCGCGGGGGGCCGCGCCGCGAGGCGCGCGCTATGCCTATATATAAACAGAGCCAACCATCCGATGCCTCCAACCCACCTGGCCACCTCGACCCAATTTTTTGCAATTTGGTCCTTTTTTTGAAGAAAATTTATGTTTGGCCTCCTAGGAGACGTAAACTCATCTTTAGACCCTGGGGGTTGGCACCAGGACTCATGGCTCCAAGGTAACACGTCTCAGTGCCACAGATCTTGGCTTCGAGGTGCCTGGCCGTGCACAACAGGGCATTCTAGGTGGCGATGACGTGGCCAGTACCTCAGAGCCACAGATCTTGGCTCCGAGCTCGGCGCCATAGATCTTGGCTCCGAGCTCGACGCCAAGATATGTGGCTCCGACCTCGAAGCCATGGATCTCGGCTCCAAGCTCGGAGCCATGGATCATGGCGCCGAGCATGGATTCAAAACCCACGACCAAGTTTCCCTTGCCGAGGCTGCTTTCATTTCTTCCTCCTCCCTCTCGGGTTCTTCCTCTCCTTAACCCGTCCAATCTCTTGAATCGACAAATTTGACCTTGGATACTTGGATTTGATCCATACATCTTCGCGAGCAAGGTATCCTCTCTCCACTTATCATTTTTACACATTGATTTGGTATATATTACGTCTATTTTGCAACCCTAGATACGTTATTACGTAATGTTGGCGCAGAAAGTGACCAACACGTAAATATTTGTAGTTTTGTCGTACGTTATGATAGGATGTGGCTTAGCACTCAATGACACAGGGTTTATACTGGTTCAGGCAACGTGCCCTACGTCCAGTTTGAGTCGGTCGGTGACTTTATTCCTGAGCCCAGGTGCTCGAAGTTTGCTGTGGGGTTACAAACGGAAGGGAGTAAGTTGGGGGTGCAAGAGGTCCGGTCGGACTCTGGTCTGAAGGGCCAATAGTGACAGGAGCTCCGCTATGCGCTAAGTGTTCGAGCGTGCACTCTGTGTAGCTTTAGAGTGTCTAAAGCTAGCAGAGGGTGAATCGATGTAAATGAACTGATGGATCGGTTGTTATGTGTTGAATCAATCTTTGTTGGGAGAGATCGCATCCCCTTTTATAGATGAAGGGGATGGCCTTACAAGTGAGAGAGGAAGAGTGTATGTATGCTAAGTCTTGTTGCCCACGCCGTTGGGTACAAGATGATTGTAGGCGGCCATAACACTGTTAATGTCAGATGCATGTGGGAGGTTGTGTCGTCTTCTTCTGGGATGGCAGACGTCGGTGCCTGCCATACCATTGATGCCCAGAGGCATGTGGGGGGAGCCATACCGTGTTTGTCTAGTATGGGAGTTGATGGCGCCCACAACACTGTAGGGAAAATGTCGGCGCCCACAACACTGCTTGGGTTCTGACATGCCAGGAAGGTTGTAGGGTACCCTTCTGACATGCCCTGTTGGTACTATCCTGTTGGTGTACAGGGTATGGTCCTCGGTTTTGCGGTTGACTTGAGTGCCCTGCCTTAGTTTCTCCGTCCATTTCCTGGTCCTCACCGAGCAGGCGTCCCCGGTCGGTTGGTCCCAGTCGCCTCCGACTACGTCAGTCGGAGAATAGCTATAAGCAGGGGTTCGGTGCATCCCCGGTCAGAGACGTGGGTCGAAGTCAGAAGTGGTGTTTGGCCAGGCCTTTTGGTCGGAGAGGTGGGCCGGAGTCGAAAGCGAGCGCTGTTGGCTAGGCCTTCCAGTCGGAGAGGCTGGCCGGAGGCGGTTCGTAGTCGGAAGCGAGCACTGTTCCTCCTTAGCGAGGCCTTCCGGTTGGAGAGGCGGGCCGGAGTCGGAAGTGGGCGCCGTTCCTCCTCGGCCAGGCCTTCCGGTCGGAGATTGGATCGCCCTTCTGGCCTATCGTTTAGGTATTTGGGCCAGCCTAGGAGTTTGTGCAATGTCGTGTGCTGGGCCGAGCCTTTGCTGGGAAGCCGGTCCATGAGGGACCCCGGGTTTATGAACCCGACAGGAGCCCCCGAGCCCCTGGGCGATTCGGGTAGAATCGTCTGGGGGATTTTTGTCTTGACGGTTGGTGCGCGCGAGCGCACCCGCGGGTGTAGCCCCCGGGCGATTCGGGTAGAATTGTCTAGGGGTATTTTCTCTTGTCAGCAGGGGAACTTTTTGTTTGTTTTGACAGCGGGTGCGCGTGGGCGCACCCACGGGTGTAGCCCTTGAGCCCCTGGGTGATTTAGGTAGAATCGCCTGGGGGGTTGTCAGCGGGTGTGTGTGCGTGCACCTTGGTTGAGACAGAGTCATCAACAAGGCATCAGGTGTAGCCGAGGTGGTTTTAGGGATCAGGCGAGACGGGCTCATGGACCCAGGCGTTGGGCGCAGCCGAGGGATCGGGCAAGACAGACTCGTGGACCCGTCGTGCACA